GCTCCTGTGGGGCCGTCTCCCGCCCCGGCAAGGGGGCGCGGCTGGAGCTGGAGGAGGCGCTGGTCCCCCGGAAGATGGCCGTCAGCCCCCTGGAGAGCTGGCTGGCCGCCCGCTGCCTCCTGCCCAGACCGGGTGCTCTATTTATCCAGAAAACGGGCAGTCCCCCTCCACCCCCCAACCCCCCCGCGGCCCGCCTGCGCCCACGCCGCCCTCCTTTGTCCCTGCAGGCCAAGTTCGAGAGAGACCTGAGGCGCATCTGGCTGAGAGCGGGGCTCAGGAAGGCCCCGGCGGGTTGGCAGACCCCCAAGATCTACCTGAAAGGCAGATGAAGCTGCGGGCCGCCCCCCACCCCCCAATAAACGCGCCCTCCTGGCTCCGCTGCCCAGACCGGAGGGGCCTCTGGTGCTGGGGGCCTTGGGCCCCACCGGGTGGGGCAGGTCTGCAGCGCCTGTCCTGGGGCTCAGCGAGTGGGGGCGTGGGGAGGGCAGGGAGGACCCCGCTGTGTCCTTGTGGCCTGCAGGTGACGCCCCACAGACTCTGGGGCCCCGCGTCCTCGCTGTGAGCTGCTGGCCAGGAGGCCGCAGGTCCCTGATAGCTGATGAGCTGGGGACGGCCCTTTCCCGAGCTGCCTCACCCCGAGACCCGCGCAGCCTGTGGCTTGAGCCCTCCCAGGTGCACCCCAGGGCTGGCCTGAGCCCCCCTCAGGCAGCAGGACCCGGCCTGGCGGGGCGTAGTGTGAGGGCACCTGGGGCGGTGGGTGGCCGCCGGGCAGCGGTCACGCCTGGCAGCCCAGGGTCCTCCTCAGGCCCAGTCGCCTGTGGTCCCCAGCTGGGCTCTGGCCCTCTGGCTGCGCCCCTGGCTGGTGGGGTCGTGCCACCTCTTCCTGGGCCTGTGTCTTGGCCCCCAGAGGCCTGACGGCTCAGTCATCTCCCTGGGGCCTCTCCGGCGGGCCCGGCAGCCCGGCGCCGCCTCGCAGACCCCGCTCTCAGCACCCCACTCCCTGGGGGGCGGCGGTGGGTCCCAGAACCCTCGTGGGGTGGGAGCTGCGTGGCCGGTGGCCCCTGCTGGCCTTGCCCGGGCGCCTGCCGGCGGGTTCCTGACCTGACTGAGGTGCTGGTCAGTGCGTGAGTGTCCACGCCCGGTGTCTTAAGCATCTGATGTTCCCTCACCTTTTCTGCTGCTGGGGTTTTGGAGCCCGCCTTGGGGTGTCCGCCTGCCCGGCAGCGGTGCTGCCCACTTCCCTAGGCGACCCCCGCCTCGGCCCCACGGCCCCCGGGCCCTGCCTGTGGCCCCGATAACCGGCTGGACCAGAGCGAGGCCGGCAGCTGGCGTGGGGTGGGTCCCAGAGTCCTGCGGGTGCCGCCCACGGGCACGTCACCGGGTGGGGTCCTGGCGCAGGCAAGAGCGCTGACCCTTCTTTCAGATGAGCACGTCGTGTCCACACCCTCAGTCCTGTTTCCTGGGGTAGCGGCCCTCCCAGGTGACAGGCCTTTTGGGGGCCAGGCGCTTGCCAGAGGCCTTCATAGCTGGGTGACCACTTAGAGCCTCACAGAGGGTCAGGAGCTGAGGTCTGCGTGGCCCCTGGGCCAGGCCCGGCCACTGCCACCCTCCCCCGTACCCACTCCTCAGGCTCCCAAGGAGGGAGGGGACAGCATGGCCAGTGCCCCAGATGGCGGCTCAGGAAGGGCCAGGGCCCCCAAGGGAAGAGAGGCCTGCGGTGGTGGGGTGCAGCCGGCGAGTCAGGCGCCCCACACTCGTCGCGGGCCTCCCCGGCTGTCCAGCCTCGCTGCCGGCTGAGACATGATGTGGTGTGAACGCAGGCCAGGCGCGACACCGGGACCGTTGTGGTCATGGGGTCTCCGGGGCCTCAACGGGCGTCGGGTCACTCGAGTCCCCCTGGCCAGGGCCCACCTCCCTGTCCACCAGGGCTGCCAGTCCTGTGGAATGTGCTGGAATGTGGCCTGACCTCAGAGGCTTGGCGCATCCGGCTGAGGAAGGGGGCCAGGAGGTTGGGGCAGGAGCTGCGCCCTGCAGGCCACAGGCCCTGCCCGTGTGGGTCAGGGTGGAGGACCCGCACCCCCAGTGTCCCCGCAGACTCATGGACGCGCCTTGGGTGGAGTCAGGAGGGGCGCCTGGTTCCACCCGGCCTGTGGCCGCCCCTGGGCTCCTCAGCACCAGCGGGCCAGCTGCGCAGCCTTCTGGGGACAGCCCACACCCCGGGAGCCTGAGCTTGCCTCTGGGGGCGGCCCCAGCTCAGCGCAGGGGGTGGGCCTGCGGGGCCCACCCAGGGGCCCCTGGAGTGAAGGGGGGTGGGGCGGGAAGGTGCCCGTCTGGCTTGGCGCTGACCGGAGGGCGTCAGGGCCCCCGGGACCCCAGCCCGGGAGTCACGTGGTCACGAGAAGCCGGCGGGCTGTCGGGGCACCCTTGGCACTGGCCGCATCCACCTGGGCTGGAGCAGGACTGTGAGCGAGGACCCACAGGACAGGCCCCTGTGGCGGGGTCAGTCGCGGGCGTCAGAGTGACCCGCAGCGGGACTCCTGTCCCCGCCGCGTCTCCGGTCCATCTGCTGTGCCGCTGAGGCGCCTGCTGCCCTGGACGCTGGGCCGGCCTGCGCGGATGCGGTGTCCTGGGAGCCGGGGCCGCCCCCAGCCTGGCGCTGGCCCGCGCTGGGCCCGTGGCGGCCGAGCTGGGTTGGCCGGGGCCGCCAGGCAGCACCCCTGCGCCCCGCGGCCCGCATGCCCTGGCTCCCTGCAGGGCCTGGGCCTCTGGGGAGAAGAGGGCTCCCCCCGGGCCAGCTGCGTGCCCAGGCGTGAGTCCAGTCCAGCGGCCCCGGCAGCTGCGCCCGGGGGGGGCACCGGGCCTGTGCCAGGTGGGCGCGTGAGCCCTGCCGCCCGCGCCGGAGGCGGCCCCTCCCCTGCGGGGCACTGGGTGCTGTCCTCCGGCCACACGCTGGCACCCTGCTGACCGCATCACCCGGGCAGCACTTCAGGCTTCCCGAGGCATCTTGCCCAGCTGCGGGGTCTGGGAGCGCCCACTGCCCTGCCCGAGGCCTGGTGCCGGCCAGCGGGGTGCCCGCAGCAGTGCGCCTGGCCCCGTAGCGGGAGGCCGAGCTCCGGTCTGCAGCGTCCGGCACGGCTCAGGCCTGGTGGGCCCAGAGCGCCCCGCTCAGCCCCTCCTCCTGGAGGGGGTGGCCAGGACCCAGCAGAGCCGCACTGGCCCTGTGCTGGCCGGGGCTCCCCTCCCCGAGCGCGAGCAGCAGCGGGCAGCACCCGCCCGCTCCAGGCTGAGCCGGCCCTGGCCGAATTGGGCGGCGGGCGGCGCTGACCACTGTGTGTGCTCCCGTCTGCCGTGCGCCACAGCCAGGCTTGGACGCCCCAAGGCACTTCTGGTGGCCAGCGGGGCGCCGGGGCACGCAGGGAGCCCCCCCCAGCAACGCCAGCCAGTCAGAGAAGGACGGGCAGGGTTGGGGGTGGTTTTCCAGCATGAAGGGTCCCTGGCTCTGGCCAGGAGTGGGCCCGCCACAGCGGGCCTCCTGGCTGGGCCCGAGCCCAGACGGGGCGGGGCATGGGCCGGACGTTCCCCGCCAAGCGGCCAGGCGTGGGGGTCTGGTTTCCCGATGCTGAGGCTGCTGGGGCGGGTGGGGGCTCCCTGTGGGGTCCGCCCTGTCCCCGTCACTGCTGTGAGCTACCCAGGTGCCCGGAGCCTTGGCCTCTGCTGTCTGCTCTCCACCTTTGCTTCGGGTGGGGGCCCTCGCCGTCAGGGGGTGCTCCAGGGTCCCCGCCTGTCCTGCTGCCCCCGGCTGACGCCCCTCTGGGCGGGAGGGCAGAGGTCAGAGGGCGGCAGTTCACCATCTGTCCTGGGCGCAGGGCCAGCTCCTGGGGCTGTGCCTGAGGTGCTTTTCTGCTGGCCTGGGTCTGGCCAGCACCCCGCCACTGTCCCCAGGGCCACGGCCCCGCAAGCAGCCCCAGAAGTGTCCTCCGGGACATCTGGGACAGCGGCGCCCGGGGCCCGAGGCCCCCGCCCTCTCCAGGACCCAGGCCAGGGGCTGGCCGCCTGGGCCAGGGGGCGGTCTGCAGGAGGGCCCAGCCCAGGGCCGTGATGTCAGCGCCGGGGAGGGGAGGGGAGGGGGCCGGGCTGTTTTTCTGGAGAGTTAGAGTGGGGAGTCGGTGAGGCCGAGGCCCTGCGGGCACCATGGAGCTGCGCCCCCCGGGCCTGCTCTGGAAGCTGGCGCTGCTGCAGAGTGAGTGCGGGGCGGGGACGGGGCCGGGGCGCCGGCCAGGGCCCCTTTGGGCAGAGCAGGTCTGAGAGCAGCCGCGGCCTGGGACACAGACAGGCCGGGCCGGGGGCAGCTCTCCGTCTGCGGGGAGGGGGCACAGGGCCAGGCCTGGGCCGGACCTCAGCTGGGGGTCTCCGGGAAGCCCCTCTGGCCCCAACTCCCCTGGGGGGCTGCGGCGGTCATCCCAGGGCACCCCGGCTTCCTCCTGCCTGCTGACCGCACATTCCTGACGGCACCACGTGCCGGGAGCAGGGGCTGGGGCTGGCCGGTGGCTGGTGACCCTGACCTCTGCCTGGGACATCTGCAGGGGTGCCGGGCTCGTGGGGTGTGGCCACTGTGGGGGCCCCTGCTAGCTGCCCTGAGCAGGGGACCCTCTCCTGGAGTCCGACGGCCCCTCCGGGGCTCCACATTCCCAAGGGTGGGGCGGGCCCTGAAGGCAGCTGTAAGGACAGGGGGGCTGGGGAGACCCTGTGTCTCCCTGACCGACCGCACCCCGTGGGGGCTCACGTGACCCCCTGCCCTCTCCTTCAGGTTCCGTGGTCCTTCTGTCCTCAGGTCAGTGACCCC